TCCACCCTGCACTGAAGGCATTAGCGAAAAACAAGACGCTAGGAACTTACAGAATACAAATGGAAATCTTTCAACAAATTTGTGCAACACTGGAGGTGCTCACTCATCTATGCGAAGAAATTTGGAAGACAGCTACCTAGCCATTTGATTAGAAGAGATCCATATTTGTTCCTATTCCAAAGAAAGGTGACCCAATAGGATGCAGAAATCAGTGAATAATATCATAACTATCTCAAGCAAGTAAAATTTTTCTGAAAATAACTTAAAAATGGTTGCAGCAGTACACTGACAGGGAACTGCCAGAAATTCAAATCAAATTCAGAAGAGGACGTGGAACCAGGGAAATCACTGCTGACATCAGATGGATCTTGGCTGCAAGCAGGGAATAATACCAGAAAGATAGTTACTTGTGTTTTATTTACTATGCAAATGCATTAGACTGTGTAGATCATAACAAACTATGGATAGCATTGGGAAGAATTGGTATTCCAGAACATTTCATTGTGCTCATGGTAGTGGTGGTAGCAGTGTGTTGTGGAGTCAGTTTCAACTCATAGTGACCCTGCACAGGGTTTCCGAGGCTATAAATCTTTATGGGAGCAGAAAGCCTCATCTTTCTCCCACAGAATGGCTGGTAGGTTTGAACTGCTGACCTTGAGGCAGGCAGCCCGACTCATGAGGAACCTATATGTCAACCAAGAGGCAGTTGTTAGAACACACAAGGAAATACTGAATGGTTTGAAATCAGGAAAGGGATGCATCTTTTCACCATACTAATTCAATCTGTATGCTGAGCAAATATAATCTGGATTATGTGACGAAAAACTTGACATCAGGATTGAAGGAAAACTCACTAGCTACCTGTGATATGCAGATGATACAACCCTGCTTGTTGGGCTCAGTATGGATTGTACCTCAATGTAAAGAAAATGAAAATCCTCACCAGGACCAATAAATAACATTATGATAGATGGAGGAAATATTGAAGTTTTTAAAGACTTTATTTTGCTCGGATCCACAATTAACACTCATGGAAGCAGCACTGAAGAAATCAAACAATTTATTAGGCAAATCTACTCTGCAGAATACCTTTTTAAGGTGTTAAAGAGCAAAGATGTCAGTTTAAGGTGTGCCTGATCCAAACCATGGTATTTTCAGTTGGCTCACATGCATGTGAAAGTTGCTCAATGAATAAGGAAAAACTGAGAAAAATGGATGCATTTGAATTATGGTGTTGGAGAAAGAATATTAAAAGTACCATGGGATTCCAGTAGAACAAACAAATCTGT